TCCTTACATGTCCTTAGTGTTAAGCACTAAAAACGTCAAACGGATTGGAAGTTGAGTGTGCCATGGTGTTTTTTGTAAGTACCGTTCGCAGGAACGGATTGACAAGATTCTAAACCTTCATGACCAATCAGGCATTAACCGTAATATTTAGAATCGGAAATGAGAAATGACTGCGTTATTAGAATCGCAGAAGCACCGGCGAGTCGTTTTACCTGCCCATAAAATTTGCGACTATTTAAGCGCGTTTTCGTACTTTCGACGAGGAGCAACCACAATAAAGACGCTAGCAATGTCGATAAATTTAGACGCAAGTCACGGTATTAGAGAATAACGTGATTTAAGTTTGGAAGTAAAATTCGAAATTATAGATTATACAACATAATACATCGTATATTAGTATGTTAGCGTATGATTACGAGATATATATATTATATATATATATATACAGAGTGAAAAAAGAGAAAATGAAGGAGTGTATGCGTGTGCGTGTTAGCACGTATTGTGAATTTGTGACTTGTCACACAAGAGCATGTTGTATTTATATTTTATTGACCTCGGATTACATCCGAATTTTCCTAAAGTCCAGTTTTTGGATACGTAGTCCTCGAGGCAGATTTTCATACGTACCGTTTATGGCGAAACGCTATCAGGAACGCGTGATTTTTCAAGGGCTGAACGTATATGAAATTAGATGTGAAGGATGTTTACATGCATGGATTTCTTGCATGTATTTGTCCCCTGAGAAAGGAGCTCGAGAAAAGAATTCTCATATGGAACGGTTACTGCGCACAAGCTGCGTGAAGTTTATAACGTTTTTGAGTGCAGTAGGTTTGAACCCAACCCAAATTGGACGTTAAATCGAGTTTAATGACGTCACATGCTCTATTTTATTTGATTTGTGATTGGACGAGATCATGATACTTTCGGGTTGATGAATCATGTACTTGGGTTGGGTTCAAACCTACTTCACTCGAAAACGCTATTATTTTCGAGACGATATTGTTTGACGGTTTATTCCTTCTAAGTGTTAAGAGTCACGTGTACGAATTTACGTGCGCTTGTCTGTTATTGCTACGCAATAATTTCATTTCGGTTGTAAAACGCACGCAAATGGACAATGAAATGCATCCACTTGGACTTTGAAGAAAGTCTCGATGCTCAGTCGAGAATTTTATCTCAGCGACTTTCGGTAACAACTTGTTAACTTATTTACTGAGAACGAATCTGAATGACAGGAACTCTCGAGTGTGCACACAGCCAAACGTGTCTGCCAAAAACAGATCCGATTATATTTACGATTGTATCCGCTTCCTATTGATCTTTTTTTATAGTTCTTTTTTAACGTAGCACCGATTGCATTTAATATCTGCGTTTTCACGCATGTAAGTTGTTTATATATCCGATTTAAATATCTTGCGAAAACGCAGTGAATACCTCGCACAAATTTATGTTATTTTTATTTCGGCAGTCGCTGTATGTTGAATTGATGCTCTTTCGCGAAGTACCATTGGTCTTATTGAAGAGAAAAAAAACAAGGGTATAAAAATTAGAATAGAGAGAGGTGAGAAAGTTACTAATATCCGGATAAATGCGAATGCGTGAATGCGTTTCAGAGCAAAAAAGAAAGAGAAAAGAAAAATATTCCGAATCCCGTAATGTAAATCGACACGGTGGGTTTCACGTCGGGGTAAATCGGAAATGCATTTTCGGATAAACTTAAGTCATCGATGTTACTCGTACAAAGTGTCTGAAAAATTGTAAATTTTTCTACTTAAAGAAGGGAAATACAAACGACGGATTAGAGTAGGGATTACTTAGACGATAAGCGTGACAGTCTCGTTGGCGGATTGGCGACTTTGCTCTCTTCGCGGTGCTCGAAAAAGGTATTCTCGTGAATCACTTCCGATTCTCCAGGTTTCAACGTCGTCCCCGCGAGGCACGTTATGCACGCAAGATTCGAAGATTAAGTCGATTGCACCGACGTCGGTTAAAGTTGCTCTGGTTACCGTCATATATCTTTCTCAATACTCTTTAATTTTAATTAAATAACATTTAATCTTTCACAAAAGATAAAAATAAGAAATATAGAAGTATATAAAACAGAATCTTAATTAACATTGTAACAAAAGATAAGTGTTTTATTGCTAAATGCATCAAGCTATGCATCACTTTGTCAATAAAGTGCTCATTGAACGAATAAATAAAGCCTTACCACTAGTATAAAAATCTTAATTAATATTGCCATTTTTGCTTCTCGAACTACATTGTGGGTATACTGGATAGATAATCTGAAAAGGATGGCGAATAGTTAACTGGAATTACTCAACTGATTGTTGATGCAATCAGCTGAGTCAGATAATCTGTGATGATTGCATCACAGTTGGCAACAACGATTAATTTTTCCTTTATTCTACGTTATAATTGAAATAACAATTTGAAATGTTTAATTGGTACTTAAAGTGAGATGACCAAAGATGATACAAAGAGAAAATATTATGACATCTAAAATGTTTTCTCGTCATAAATGTATGTTAATCAATTCTTCCTTTCTTACCTCTTTCTATAGCGTAGTAGAAACTGATTTATAAAGAAACAAAAAATTGCCAGAGTCGACTGACAAGATTGTGGGTGCAATCGATTTTAAATGTATACATTTTACTGTGTCACGATAAACGCGATGAGCCATTACGATACGATAGATATTAGTGATTAAAGTGAAAACAAAATGTGAGTGCATTGCGCGCATGCGAGCGTAGAAAATTGTTACATCCGTATCAGCGTGATCCTCTTTTCATGTGTATTTTACTGCGAGAGAGCATTATGAGCAATAACGCGGTAAACCCATATACATATACACCCATTATTGTATGATAAGTTTAAACATTGCTGCAATATCAATCTCATATCTTCACGTAGATGGAATGTAACGGAAGAAGTGGTACAGCGAGTACCATCTTATTAAAAAAATGAAATAAAGAATAATCATTATTAATGACTGTCTGTATTAGATGGTCTAAATCACAGTCAATAATATGATATTAATGACTGATATTAATAATTTAACATGGTATCAATGATATTAATTATATTAATTAATAGATCTATTATTATGGAAGTATATTGAAATAATTGTGATGTAGCCAAAGAAATCTAAACAATATTGAAATGTTTTTCGGACGTCTCTTTTGTGAATAAATTATAACAATTTGTAAAATATTGACACATAAATATCTGATACATTCAGCTGTTGTCTGACTATAATAGTGAAATGTCTGGAAGATATGTTCTTTTTTTAATTAATCTTTGTATCATCTCTTGAACTCCTACGTTATTTGGATAGCCTTTGATATTGCGGCAGTCCTTATTTTATGTAGATCCTAGAATCCGTAAGAAAAATCCTCACCGCGATGTTTACATGGTACGTAGCATATTTCCAATAAAATTAAAGCGACATCGCATGGAAGAGTGCGCGTGAAAAGGCGTTCACGTTTACGTAGCGTTAGAGAGTAGGTGTATTACGTCCAGTACATTTTTTCTATGAGCGTTTTATACCGATGATAAACTTGTTTTCTCATGATAAACGATCACTTGGAAATTTCGCTGATGATGATGATAATTATCATGATCGCTGCCGTAGGTCGTAGATTTATAAAAAAAAAAGACATAAGGTTTGAACTAATGCGAGCTCAACGGGAATGATCTAGATAACAGAAAAGTCCCAATAACATCGTAAAGATATCTAAAAGGCTGAATAATTGAAGAATTAAAACGCCTTTCAGACGTACTTTGGGTGTTTTTTGGACTTTCATGAAAAGAAAGCGATGGTTTTGAGCGACGCAAAGCGTTCGCGTTATATGGTATATATATTCGCGTAGACTGTTTCATTCGGATCACATTTGGACCATGTATTTACAAATTATTATGGTAAAGGCATTGTGGCCTTTTTCCATTGGATATAGAGACTGATATTGTTTTTTAAATAAAGCCCATGTGCTATCGGGAATTTTACGTCCGACCGTTTGCAAAATCTCGAAATAAATTTTTTTTCTAAATCCGATAGCTTTACAACGTATGCTTCATCGATCGCACATAACTGTACATAATAATATTTTGACTGATCGAGCAAAGTAGCACGAGTATTAAAATTATTTATACAGGTGAGGAAGACGTACTCTCTAAATATCAGATGTCGTAAATTTCCATTAATTTGCAAATAAGCATTTCTTTTAAATCTTTAAATCTTTGGTGTGATCATCAATAATTAATTTTCAATTGATAACGTGATTGTGTCGGGAATTTACTCGAGAAATACCTCGGACGTATCGTTCCCGCGTCCTTTATTTACAAATGTTTGCGATGTTTAAATTATACGGAGACCTAAGAAAGGGCGAAAGATCAGCGGTATATGCATATTGTACTTAAATGAAAATTATGCTCTTAATTAATTGTGGATTTGGCGATGCCTTTTTCGGAGACAGTGTGCTCGTTCGTGGTCCCCCAGTCAAATTTTCGATAAATCTGTGATATAGGGACAGATTCCCTCTTTCTCTATCTCTCTCTCTTTCACGCGTTTTGATACAAAAGATCGACTGTGTCTCACGACGACCATGAGAGCACCGTGTCACCAAAGGAGGACGATAATTATCCACGATTATCGTATCGATATAATTGTTTACAGAACAGAGTCGTCTCACGTGATGCGCACACCAAAAATATTTTCTTGTACGCCCGGCATTCTTACGTTCGAATTTTCTTCACATCGTACATCACCGCGCGTCAACGTTCTCATTCATATTGTACCTAAAGCGAAAACGATCAATACACTGTTGTCATTGTTTATATACCAAAGCTTATTATCATTAAGTAACTTAACGATTACTTTGTGTTATTATTATATTAATTGTCGTAAGCCTATGCAGATAAATATATTATGTATCATATTAATGTTGCACCTTCATTAGCGCCCTATATAAGAATTT